AGTTTCTTCCTGTGTGTCTGTTTGTAGATGAAGGGGCTGAGGATCAAGTGGGTCCTCTACACAGGTTCCCCAGCCATGAACCTGCCACCAGCGGGGAGAGGCGTAGGCTCCTAGCCCCCTCCATCTCGGTGTCTGTGCCTGATGATGACCCTTGCAATTCCGATGAGGAGTACTATGAGCATCCTTTGTTCAGCTCACAATGGACTACCTCTAGTGTGCTCCCCAGTGTCCCAGCGCAGAGTGCAGAGGCCCACTTAGGCCAGGAGAAAGGTGAACCAAGCATGGTCCCTTTTTGCTCCTCCTCCCCAGCCTGCAGCTTTGACCACATGCATCATACTAAGTGTACCTTTGTATGTGGGGTGGGAGGGGAAAGAGCCTGTTTTTTCCACATGAAAGTGAAGTCCCTATATAGTTTGTATGTCTAGCGAAATACCTCATGTACAAGAAGCCTTATTTGAGGCATGTGAGTGTTTTCTTTTTCTGTATCATTGCTTCCGGGAAGAAGGCAAAAAAGATGGGGGAGTGAAACGGAGGGAGCAAAAGGAGTTCAATTAAAGTTCGACTCCTTTCTGCTCCCTGTAAATAAATCAGTGGGGGAAGAATATATCCTCTTACTCAAACTGAAGAAGAGGATCCTGTATATAATTTTTCCTCTTTGGGTACATAATATTACTAGGACCAGACTTAAATAGAATTAGCCTTCTTTTTAGTGCCATGTTAATACAATAGCTCTTTAGAAGGGAAAGACTGTGAATCTGTTTGGAACAGAATTAATGTTACAAAATGAATGTATTTCTCCAAAACACTTAATCCTCTACAGAAAGTAGAGAGGCTCCCCCAGGTGACTGAATATTGGCTAACATCAGCAGACCTGGGCTAAAGTGAAGGAACTGATCCACAGCCTTTGTCATCATCCCCCCTCATAAAGCTAGAAGACCCTAGTGTATACCTGGCTGTGATGAGGGTAAAAAAGGTGGGCAGTGGGCTGCAATTTATCTCATTCTAATTAGGTAGTTTTGTAAAGGAAAACAAAATTAGAGCTAAAAACATTTTTTGCATAGGTGAAGAGGTTATTCTCAAATAGGGAGAAATGACTTGTTTGCATGAAGAGTTTATTTTCATATGAGACAGCATTTAATGTAAGGGCCGATAGTTCCAAGGCAACAGGGAATAAATTCATAGCTTACCAGCTACATTCATGATAATAAACTTCTTCAAGGGTGCTTTGGAAAACAAAGAGCCCCAATGGCTCGGACACTCTGACAGAGAAATCTAACCCATACTAAGTTCTTCCAATAGCGTGAACTTACCACAATTAAGACAAATATGTGAAATTTTGAATAAAGGACAAGTGCAGTGGAAATAAACATGATTTATAGGAAATAAGGAAAGGGAAAGCTAAAAGGTTATGTAGATTTGGAAAACATGTCGATTAAATTGATTAGACTTTATACAACAAGGTGACTTTAAAAGTCTCATCATCTGTAATCAAAATCTCTAATTCTATGCATTGTAAAAATGGCCTTAATAATAATTTGGAGTCTGAAATTTTAAAATGTTACTTACATAATTAAATGATAAAAATGAAAGTGGCTGGTGCTAAATGGGAGGAAATAGAGGAAGTATTTCTCTCCCCTCCCCCACCCAAGAATTTTAATATTTCTCAAAAAAAAAGAAAAGAAAAGAAAAGAAAAGAAAAGAAAAGAAAAGGAAAGAAAAGAAAATTCCTTTCCTTTCCATCTGTAGTCTTTCTCACTGGGCCATTTAAATAACGTATAATTGTTTCATGAGAATTTCATAAGAATCTTTCATATGGAGAACTATAAAACAGCTTATATATCTCCCTCTAATTTCTTAAGGAATAAAATGGGATTTATTTTATTGGTATTTGAAGTGCAAATGAGACGCAAATAAACACGACAATTCATGGCCTTCATAAGTGTGCTTTCTACATTTTAATTGTTAACGTTTTTCCATGTGGTATACATCTTTTGGGAGGATATTTTGGCAGTTTAGTTGCCATTCAGTTATCTTGGTGGTTTTGTTTTGAATTGCAGAAATAAGACTTTATAGGTAATATGCACATTTTCTTATTCAGGATCAAAGAGAAGTATACATGAACTACATTATTGGTATTTTAAGGGTTTCAGCAATAGGTTAACAGTTGTGTTGCAGAGGTAGACTTTTCTAAGTGGGAAGATTACATTTTACCTGGACCTTGTTTTTCACAATATTTTGCTTACCCATTCTCTGATACCACGTGATGCAAGGAAGGTAAAATAAATTGAATCAGGAAGTCATTTGCCTTAAAAATATTAAACAAATTAAAGTACAGTCTGAAGCCTTAAATAGTAAATACTTCTGCTTCTAAATACTAAATAAAATAGTTTTGATGGATTCCATGATAAAGCTGTTAAGGTAGTTGGTGGCTATCATTTTGAGACCAGGTGTTTTTTTAATTCCCAAAGATTCTTTACTGAAGTTTGCATGGTTTAAGTAAAGTAATAAGAAATTCATATGTAGGGGCTTACTGCATTGGAGAAAACAGCAGGTGTCTAACAAATGTAAAGGTATTTTTCAGTACATCTATGCATCTATCTTTTCATGATCATCCATCGTCCAGCAGCATCATCTCTTATTTCCAGCGAGCTTTCTATACGTGTGCCACTTCCTGCCATTTCCACCAAGGGTAATAGAGCAATAAAACCCTTTCAGCTCTCAAGTTTTTAACAAAACAGTCTTTTATCAAGAGTGTAAAAGGCATCATTATTAGCAGATTATATATAATAATTTCCCAAGCAATACGTAATGCACGTCGCATTAGAATATTAATTTGCTCATCCAAATGGGAAAAGAGGTTCTGGTGAGGTCAACATAATGGAGCTGAAAGTGTTCCTTGAATGATATTTCTGCCATTTTGTGTATTGTTCTGTGGTCATGATGTCAACATCTTTTTCATCCCTAAGAAGAAGAAACGCTAGAGGGAACAATGGCTGAGGAAGAGAAACCTGCCACTCTTCCTGGGAAAGAGTGCGGGGCTGCCAAGGCCTCAGACCAACCCAAGGGCCTCAGTGAGGGCCAAGTGGAGTCTAGTGCGGAGGCCCAAATAGTTCCTGAAGAGAGTGCCCCAGCAGGGGCCCCACAGGAGAAAAGTGTAAAAGAGGTCTCGGAGGTGTCTCCAGAAGTAAAAATCCCTTCCTCTGCTGGGGAAGGTGTGTCTTTCCTAGGATTTGCATGTGTTTTGTTGCAAATGATCTCTCCGGCAGCTTACCAACCTGATGCCTTTCCAATGCTATTCCATTGCTTGGTCTTCTCATGGTCCCAAGACCACTGTTTTAGGTTTAACGGGCAGAGTGTGGCTTGCACAGGTGCTGTGTGGCAGCTAGGTTTTCCACCGCTGCAGCTGATTCTTGGTTTTACTTTGCCATGATACGATACGCTTTGCGGCCAGGCTGACGATGCTGTGTGAGCTTTTTGTCCGCCCCCTCATCTCAAGTGTTTGCCAGTCACATTGCTAATACATGTATATTTTTATTTTTATTTTTGAGACAGCGATTCATATGCTTTTCTTTCAAATCGTAGAGTTGGATTTTGGCACATAGAGGCTTAAATGGTAGAATTGTTTTTGTTTGCAACCGCAGTGTGCTATATTTTTTATGCTTCGATGAATACTGGTTTGGTTTCCTTAAAAGCTCCTGCTGATGCTTCTCATATCATTTCCTCTCCATGGCAGCCAACCTCTTTGACCATCACCATATCTCTTGAGTTTTCATTCATCTAACCTTTATTAGAAGTTCATAAAGTATTTCTTTTCTATTGTTACAACAGGACACACAAGTATATAAGGTAATGATGATCCATACACTTGCTCTTCGAGAGATGACTGAATTTTCTTATTTGCCCCAAATCTTTTCCAGATAATTACATTTAGCCCTAAAGATCACAGTGAAATACCTGTGACAAAAGTGAGACTCTAAAACCTTTCGGGTTAGTGAACAAACCGAAATTGAAAAAAGAGTTGTTTAATTTCTGGGAGGCATCTTTAAAGCCAATACTACTTAGTGTCTCATCATTAGTCATGTTCCAGAGAATGAGGTCATGACCAGGGAGAGAAAGATGTTATAATAACTGACTCTTTTTGAAATGTGTGTTCACATGACATCCCAGTATTAGCAATATAATTTAGAGTTTCTAATATCTGTCATGTAGGTTAACTAAAATGATTAGGAATTAAGAATTTTGAATTTGTGGTACAAATTGATTTGTCTACTTTTAGGTCATATCATATAAAGTTAATAGCAAATATTTATTTACATTATAAATATTTATATAAAATATATTTATAGATAAATATCATAAATATTTATTTATATTCCTGAAATTTAATCTCAGATGATCTCTAAAAAATTATGTCAGTGACCTTTCAGTGTTCAAAAAATTGGCCCTGGCATGTGTAAATCAAGGTAATTGAAACTATTGATACTTATTATGAATTAATTGGCACTCTGCCCATGGCCTGCCAGTTCATTTTTAAACGAGAACAAAAATGAAAAGTTCAGTAGACATTCATCCTTTTTCATAGTTAGTCCTTAATGTATTTTTATACCGTAATGTTACTGACTTATTCAATATTCTTTAATTTATGATTTTTGTCTGTACAAGGCACATGAAATTTTTTTCCACTACAATATACATGACATACTATTTAGGAAAGACCAAATAAAGGAGAAAGGAGTATTCAAACTACACACTTAACTACAATTCCTGTATGCATAGATTCTCAACAGGAGTCCATTTTAGCAGTACAAATATATCTCAGTCCTGACATTTTCATATTGATTTTTAAATGGGTAGCATGCCTGCATGTTCCATAGTTTCATTTTGTTTTGTTTTGTTTTGTTTACCCTACCATTCATTTGTCATTTCAAAATATAATTTTAAGCTTACTGCCTGAAAGCACTTGCCTATTATTTGTTTAAAAATCAACCCAATTACTTCAGGTTTACTTCCAGCCTCGAAGATGGAGTTCCATGATCAGCAGGAATTGACTCCCTCCCCAGCTGAGCCACTGGACAAGAAGGAAAAGGAGTCAGAGGAACAAAGTAAGCCTGGTGAAGACCTTAAACATGCTGCCTTAGCTTCTCAGCCTGAGACGACTAAAACTTCCCCTGATAAAAAGGACACGCAAGGCACAGAAGAAGAAAAAGCACCCACCGCCCTGTTTGGGCATGCTCTTGGTGCCGGGCTGGAAGACATGAAACAGAAGACAGAACCCAGCCTGGTGGTGCCTGGTATTGACCTCTCTGCAGAGCCCCCAGCTCCAAAAGAGCAAAAGGACTGGTTCATCGAAATGCCAGTAGAAGCAAAAAAAGATGAGTGGGGTTTAGCTGCTCCCATATCACCTGGCCCCCTAACACCCATGAAGGGAAAGGATGTGTTTGAGGATATCCCCAAATGGGAAGGGAAACAATTTGATTCTCCCATGCCAAGTCCCTTTCAGGCTGGAAGCTTCACTCTTCCTTTAGATGTCATAAAGAATGAAATAGTTGCAGAAGCATCACCCTTTGCCCCTGCCCTATTGCAGCCAGATGACAAGAAATCTCTGGAAGAAACCAGTGGCCCAGTGACTGCCAAAGATAGTTCTAAAGCTGAAGAACCTCATAAGGATAAACCTGACAAAATGGCAGAAGCACTAGCCTCAGAAGCAATCACCTTACCCAAAGATGCCCACATTCCAACTGTGGAAGAATATGTCCCAGAGAAAGTATTAGGAGAAGAAAAAGGGGCGATAAAGCAAGAGAGTGTGCAGAAAACAGAGATCTCAACCCTCAGTGGACAGGAAGCTACACTTACTGAAAAGGAGTCTCAGCTAAAGCTTGAAGAGAAAACAACCATCTCTGACAAAGAAGCCATGCCAAAAGAGAGTGAGCCCCCCAAACTGACAGATGAAGAAACAGGCATAATTCAGCCCTCCGTGGAGCACACCCTCTCGAAAGAAGAACAGAAAGGCCAAGACACTACCACAGATACACTAAAACAGGACTCATTCCCTGTAAGTTTGGAGCAAACAGTTACAGATTCAGCCATGACCTCCAAGACACTGGAGAAAGTCATGACCGAACCAGCTGCAGTAAGTGAACAGAGTGCAACCCAGGACCTTTTTCAAGAAAAAGTTGCTGATAAAGATCATAAGGTTGAAGGGGTTGGGGCTGAAACGTCAGCTGAGCTTGACATGCCATTTTATGAAGATAAGTCAGGAATGTCCAAGTATTTTGAAACATCTGCCTTGAAAGAAGAAGTGACAAAAAGCATCCAGCCAGGCAGTGATTACTATGAACTAAGTGACACAAGAGAAAGTGCCCAAGAGCCTTTTGATACTGTATCTCCTGCATATAAAAACGGTGACAAGGGACTTCAGGCAGGTAAGGAACCCCAGCCCAGTGCTCCAGCACAAGAAGCAGGGTATAGCACTCTTGCACAGAGTTATCCATCTGAGGTGCCTGAAGAACCCAGTTCTCCTCAAGAAAGAATGTTTACTATTGATCCAAAAGTGTATGGGGAGAAAAGGGATCTCCACAGTAAGAATAAGGACGACTTGACATTAAGCAGGAGTTTAGGACTTGGTGGAAGGTCTGCAATAGAACAAAGAAGCATGTCAATCAATTTGCCCATGTCTTGCCTGGATTCCATAGCCCTTGGATTTAACTTTGGTCGGGGACATGATCTTTCTCCTCTGGCTTCTGATATTCTAACGAACACTAGCGGAAGTATGGACGAAGGGGATGATTACCTTCCAGCCACAACCCCTGCACTTGAGAAAGCCCCATGTTTCCCAGTAGAAAGCAAAGAGGAAGAAGAACAGATAGAGGGAGAAAAAGCTACCGGAGAGGAAAATGCTCAAGTTGAGACATCGTGTGAGTCACCTTTCCTAGCCAAAGATTATTACAAAAATGGCACTGTCATGGCCCCTGACCTGCCTGAAATGCTAGACCTGGCAGGCACAAGGTCAAGATTAGCCTCTGTGAGTGCAGATGCTGAGGTTGCCAGGAGGAAATCAGTCCCATCAGAGACTGTGGTTGAGGAGAGTAGCGCCGGCTTGCCCCCTGTCACTGATGAAAACCATGTCGTTGTTAAAACAGACAGTCAGCTGGAAGACTTGGGTTACTGTGTGTTCAATAAATACACTGTCCCACTGCCATCACCTGTTCAAGACAGTGAGAATCTGTCAGGGGAGAGTGGTTCCTTTTACGAAGGCACTGATGATAAAATGCGAAGAGATCTAGCCACAGACCTTTCGTTGATTGAAGTAAAATTGGCAGCTGCCGGCAGAGTCAAAGATGAGTTTGGTGCTGAGAAAGAAGTATCCCCACATATCCCTGGTGACAAATCAGTACTGGGTAGGGAGTTTGATCAGGAGAGGAAAGCTAATGATAAGCTGGATACTGTACTAGAAAAGAGCGAAGAACATGCTGATGCAAAAGAACATGCCAAGGCAACAGAAGAGGCCAGTGATAAAGTTGAAACATTTGGATTAGGAGTAACCTACGAGCACCCTTCGACCAAAGAACTGCCCGTATCAAAAGACACATCACCTCCTGCGGCTGAGAAAGCTGAGACAGGTCTTAGTTCAGTCCCAGAGATAGCTGAGGTGGAACCATCCAAAAAAGCTGAACCAGAACTGGATGTCATTGCACAGAAAGCTGACCAGGGTCAATTAGATGTTAAAATCAGTGACTTTGGACAGATGGCTGCAGGACTGACCATAGATGCTGCAAAAGCAACAGAACTTCAACTCGAAGCTACACAAGATCTCACCCCCTCATCTGCAGTACCTCAGGAGGGAGATATGTTTCTGAGTGTTGATCCTGGCCACATGAAAGAAGGCACTAAAACCAGTGAGACAGAAATCAAGGAGAAGGTGGCCAAGCCTGACTTGGTGCACCAGGAGGCTGTGGACAAAGAAGAGTCCTACGAGTCCAGTGGTGAGCATGAGAGCCTCACCATGGAGTCTTTGAAAGCTGATGAGGGCAAGAAGGAAACATCCCCAGAATCCTCTCTAATTCAAGATGAGATTGCCATCAAATTGTCAGTGGAAATACCTTGTGCACCTGCTGTTTCAGAGGCTGATTTAGCCCCAGATGAGAGAGCTGATGTCCAGATGGAATTTATTCAGCAGCCGAAAGAAGAAAGCAAAGAGGCCCCAGATATATCTGTCACTCCCTCTGATGTCACTGAGCCATTACCTAAAGCCATCGGGGCTGAACCAGCAGAGGCTCAGAGTGAAGAAGAAGAGATAGAAGCCCGGGGAGAATATGATAAACTGCTCTTCCGCTCAGACACCCTTCAGATTACCGACCTGGGAATCGCAGGTGTCCGGGAGGAATTTGTGGAGACCTGCCCCGGTGAGCACAAAGGAGTCATCGAGTCCGTGGTAACCATCGAGGATGATTTTATCACTGTAGTGCAAACCACAACTGAAGAAGGGGAGTCAGGTTCCCACAGTGTGCGTTTTGCAGCCCTAGAGCAGCCTGAGGTGGAGAGGAGACCGTCCCCCCATGCCGAAGAAGAGCTCGAAGTAGAAGAGGCAGCCGAAGCCCAGGCAGAACCCAAGGATGGCTCCCCGGAGGCTCCAGCTTCCCCTGAGAGAGAAGAGATTGCCCTCTCAGAATATAAGACGGAAACCTATGACGATTACAAAGATGAAACCACCATTGATGATTCCATCATGGATGCTGACAGCCTCTGGGTGGACACTCAAGGTGTGCATTTTTTTTTTTAATTTTCTACTTCCAAATAAAATCCCATAACCTAATGGATTTTTTCGATTTTAAACATTTTTTAAAATGTCCCTTTATCTCGATTTTGCATTTTGTTAAATATATGAAGGATTTTGTACATTTGTTACTAATGTTTTCATTGTTGTTGTTGTTGTTGTCATGGTTTGCTTTGATCCACAGATGATGATAGGAGCATCATGACAGAACAGTTAGAAACTATTCCTAAAGAGGAGAAAGCTGAAAAGGAAGCTCGGAGACCATCTCTTGAGAAACATAGAAAAGAAAAGCCTTTTAAAACCGGGAGAGGCAGAATTTCCACTCCTGAAAGAAAAATAGCTAAAAAGGAACCTAGCACAGTCTCCAGAGATGAAGTGAGAAGGAAAAAAGGTTCATTTAACAATCCCTTCTTTCAAAATGTTTTTGAATTTGTTATTACTCTTTTGTAAAAGAAACTTCCTTACAGTGGTAACTAATTATTTATGAAATTTCGTTCGGTTTTGCTCCAAGTGTTTATTTTCTCCTGATGGTATGCTTTTTGTGTGTGTTTTTTTTTATTCATAGCAGTTTATAAGAAGGCTGAACTTGCTAAAAAAACAGAAGTTCAGGCCCACTCTCCCTCCAGGAAATTCATTTTAAAACCTGCTATCAAATATACTAGACCAACTCATCTCTCCTGTGTTAAGCGGAAAACGACAGGTGACTGTTCAATTGTGCAATGTGGCTGGCAAACATAGATGTGTATTTTTTTTATCTCATTACCGTAGCAGCTTCTTCATTTTGTTTTTCTTCCAAGAATCTTAGCAGTCATGAACAGTTTTGCTATTAAGTGTCTTGTATCATTATTCTTTTTTTTTTTCTCCTCCCTGCAGAAGAGGTCATGACCATCTGTTTCTTTGTTATGCTCAGACTTAGCAGTGATTTTATCTTGGCATTGTGCTCTAGTGTCACGTTCTGGGGATTCCTATTTTCATTCTGTGTGTTTGGTTAGAGGATGACGATGAATAGGACTGTGGTATGCATTCTCATTATTTTGCTTATTTCTCTCTCTCATGCTTAAACCCATACTATATTTGTTCTATTTTCTACATGGTTACTGCCAAATCTGTTACTGATGTTGATGAATTTACCAAGAATGTACAGTGATTTCAAGATTGGAAATGAAAAGCAAATCTGGGGTAAAATTGTGATTTCAAAATTACTTTGCTTCAGATGAAAGAAAAAGAAAAGGAAAGGAAATGGTCTGGTCATCCCATCAGATTTTATTTTTCGTATCCAAAATTAGCAAGGCTTTCAGTTCACTGTACTCCATCTCTTCACTGACTTTTTGTCATTGGGATTTTCTTAAATGTGTTGGATGCAAACTGCTAATTTTCTGATATAATTTAGTATTCAGAATTCCCAGATAAAACTCCTTCCCCCTGAATCTCTTAGAACTTAGGTGCGTTTGTATTTCACTACCTCATTTTTCTGTCTTCTCCAAATACACTTGTTTTTAACTCCCCTTGAAAAAGTAGTGAAATGAAGGAGCAAAACGTATTACAAATCACAAAAAAAAGTGCATACAAATATCTATAATGCGAACTCTATTCCTAAATTTCAGTACCAAGTATTTACTTTAAGTGTGTGATTACCCTCGGATAATCTTAATTTATAATACATTTTATTTTAGCATTTATTAAGTAGCACACTTGTAGTCTAGAAAATAAGATATCAGATTGCTAAATCAGAAAGGAATATTTACCTTTACAGTGTATATTGGAAGTGCCTTTATATAAACCTTTGGATGGCTTTAAAGGTTAAGAGCAGGATTAACCTTTGTAAGAAAAAGAAGATCAAGGTAATTGGTGGTTTTATGATAGTCAGTAAAATTACAAGTTTTTTATATTTGTGTTCCTCATATGGTAATCATCTCATGAGCTTTCCTTCAAGAAGCAGTCTTTCAGGAAGTATTTGAAAGTGGAAGGCTCAGAATTATAAAGAAACCTTGATGATAGAAGTTCAGGATGAGGAGCTTTTCTAAATTAGACATTAACATGCTATTTCTAACTCTTATATCACATCTTAATTCATTTGCATTAAACTCGAAATTTTTCTTCTAATTAGACAAATGCTTGACAGACTCTCTTGGTTTGGGCATCAAAATCAGATATCATACGTAAAAGGATGAAAGAGTGTATCAGGATTATGTAATTTTAGAGGAAATGTCAAATGGTTTGGTGAAGTGTCTACATGTCATTGGTATTCGATTTACCACATTGAGAGTAAACACCTTTTTAACTCATTCATTCAGGGAAATTTAAGATGTTTGGACTAATTAGAATCTTAGTCTGTTCAGATATTAATATACTAAAGCAGAAAGCATATACCAAACACTAGATGTCATTGGCTTGAAGCAAGCTCTATGTCGCAGAAATTTAAGAAGTGCTACAGATACATTAGGGAAGCATCATTTGCACTGTTTCTTAAAAAAAAAAAAAAAAAAAAAAAAAAAAAAAAAATCATTCCAGAATCTGAATCTTACTAGCCAGTCCTAAATAGCATATAGCATCTTGTAGACAGTTGTTTTTTTGTGTGTGAGAGCTGCATGTGACATAAGAAACCTTTTTGAAACTCATTTGGAGTGCTTATAAGCTTTAGATTTTTCCGCCCTGACGTTTTCCCTTATGAAAGAAGATTAAGGAAGAAATAACTACACAAGCTTGTGCCTTTCATTTTCTAAGCACAATTTTTAAATCGAGATCGTTTTTCTAAAACACAAAGGGTTGTTTTCAATCATGAGAGATATTTGAGTCAAGTCAGGTAAGTCATCAACAGAAAATGTGCTGGAGATAGTAGAGTTTAAAATTGGAACCAGAGGTATTAAACAGCAGCAAGAGAAACAACAGTAACAGATGTGGTAATAATTTCATACAGGAAGTGCATGTGTAGAACATGTTCTATATTACTGAATTTGAAATTCCTCTCATGTTTTCTTTCCTTGACAAGCTGTTTTTCTTCTCATGTGGTGCGTTTCACGTCAAACAAATGTGTCACTCATGTTGTGAAATGAAGGGGTACAGAGGAAAAGGGGTTGGCTGACCATGACAGTTTGAATATAAAATGTAGAAATATCTGTAGGTATGCCACTGGCCATAAAAAGAGGGCTTGGGAATCTCCATGAACGCTCTTTTACATCATGCCAACCCTAGAAACCAATCACTCCCCCTTTTCTTAAATTTGACAGTATTTGGATGGTGTTCTGTGACTTCCGTTCTAAAGGATCTATGCTTATGTAGTAATAAGATTTAAAGGTACCTTGGTAACCAATAGGAAGTTATTTGGTGTGCTTACCTGTGCTTTGGTAAACACTGGGTTGTATTAATTAGCACACATTGTAGTGGGAGCCACATGCTATAATGTTGGTTTTCAGATTTCTTCAGTTACTGAATTTGAATCTCAAAATAAGCAAAATTTTGCTTTGCGTTAGTCTGTTGACACAACTGAATAACCAAAAGAGATTAAAAAATGCATTGTGTGGTTTTTAGCCACTAAGTTCGGGGTTGTTTGTATCTTCTTTTTTCGACAGCAACAGGTGGTGAAACAACTCAGGCTTCCAGTGTATTTAAACAGGCAAAGGACAAAGTCTCTGTGAGTAAAATGGTTTTTTCCTTGTTCTTCACTTGAAGCTTCCTTTGGTATTGGTGGCAATGTTTTAATAACTTTAGTTGTAAGTTAGACTTCAGATGTTTACTCTTAAATGTCATTTTGTTTATTTATTTATTTACTTACTTATTTATTTTTATTTATTTATTTTTAATCGTTCATTCGCCCAGAATGATTCTCCATGGCATTTGGGCATGTCTCAGTATCTTCTAGAATGACATCTGATAGTACTTGGTGAGGGCAGAGCTGGGATTTAGGCTGTCTCTCTTTTAGTAAGATAAGAACAAAGAGCACAATGATCTGGCAAAAATAGGGAAGCTCAGTTTATTTACTTTTCATGGAATCAAGATAAATCACTATAATCCACACTAAAGTGTACGTTTTAAGACATTTTCATTATTGTTATTACAAAATAAGAATATGAGAAAATTAAACAATGTAGATGAGCAAATATAAGTAAAAATATATTATAGTCCCCTTATCTAAAGAAAACTATAGTTACCATTTTGATATAAAATCTTTATTTTTTCCTACATATTGATAAGTTTAATGACAAAAATGGAAGCACTGTGTATCAGTTTTTTACTAAAACAATGAATAGATTTGTTTATTAGATTTTAAATTTGTAATAGATTTTAAAACAATAAATCAATAAACAGATTTCCCTCTCATGAACCAGTCTTGTACATCGCTTTAATGACTACATTGCATTGTGTTTTATTTATTTATGGTGATATACATTATCAGTTCCCTGTTACTTGACTTTTAAACTATTTTTATTGTCGTTTTAACACTATTACTCTAGAAATCTTTTTGGCTTAATCTGTGAATGCATCCATATGCTTTTCCTTAGGATAATTTCCTAGTAGTGAAATTATTGTTTCAAGCAGAAAGTCCACATTTAAAGTTTTTTCCTAACATTATCAAAATTGTCCTCTAGAAGTGTTCTACTGACTTATATGTTCTCCAGCTGTATATAAGAGTGCCCATGTTCATTATTATTACTAGATATTCTTGTACTTTTTCTATATTTACCAAGTTATGGGGATAAAATATTGTTTTAATTTAGTTGCATTAATGATGTTTAACTTCTTCATATGTTTGTCTTTCATATTTCTTTTTTATTGTACTTTTTATGTTATTAACCATCATTTTTTAAACTCCCAAAAGACCAAAGCAAACATGAAGTATTTTACTCCTTTCTGATTGAAAGAAAAAAAAATTAAAAGACTACTAAAGAGGGGCACCTGGCTGACTCAGTTGGTAGAGTATGCTACTCAATCTCAGAGTTGTGAGTTTGAGCCCCACTTGGGTGTAGAGATTACTTAAAAATAAAATCTTAAAAGAAAGACTATTAAAGAAATCCTAAAATTACAAAACTTTGTACAAATAAAAATATAAATACTTTGAATGATGTTAACCAGTAGTACATCACAATGTTCTAGGTTTTAGACGTCACATGTAAATCACAACTCTTTGCTTAGCATTCTAAAAACTAGTCAGATTTTAGACTTTCACTTTTTATTTATTATGAAAAATAGAAATACATTTCCAATGAGAGCCAAACTGTTTATATCATTTTGAACCTAAAGGACTTTATGTTGATTTTAAAAAATTGATTTTTATGTTTCCAGGCATATTCCTGAACATATGGCAAGCAATAGATTCCATTTACTGCTTTGATAAATATTGGGCTTTATTTTGAAAACACTGTAACTTCAAGATTTCTCTTTACCTTTTGTTTCTGATGGGCAACTAGTGAATTGTGGCTAAGAGCAGGGCTATGAAGCACACCAGGTCTAGGTCTTGAACATTTATTAGCTCTAATAAATAGCTCCCTATGTCTTAATTTTCCAAAACTAAAGGGAGGGTTAAAATTCCTATATCCTACTTTGTGAAAAATAAATACAGTAAATTATAAAATAGTACACTGTATTGTGCTTAGAACATAGTATTTATTCAATAAACAGTGATCGTTGTTGTTATTGTTGTTGTTATTTGAAAGGTAGAAGTCTTCAGGAGCAGATAAAGTAAGTCAGCTTTCCCCCATTAAAAAAAAGCATTTTTAAGTGGACATTGTTTGGAAAATCTTTTGGGTTTTTTTTTTTTGGCTTTTAATTCCAGTTGGTTAACATACAGTGTAATATTAGCTTCAGATGTACAACATAGTGATTCAACACTTCCCTACGGCGCTCGGTGCTCTCATCACAGGTGCCCTCCTTAATCCTCACCTATTTCACCCATCCCTCTACTCCCCTCCCCTCTGGTAACCATCAGTTTGTTCTGTATAGTTCAGAGTCTGTTTCTTGAGTCTCTCTCTCTCTCTCTTTCCCTTGGATCATTTGTTATGTTTGTTTGAAAAATATTTAGGAAATTTTCAAGTCCCTTGGTCTTCAAGTAACTCATTGGGAATTCGCATTAAATGCTTGTACTTAGAAAAGAAACCATATACATCTTCTACAGAGAACTAATTTTTTTCCTTTATAAATGCCCATCTCCCCTTTCTGAAGAACAGAGATAGGCCACCATTCTTTCTAACTTTTTCTCATTTAACATTCTTTCCCCTCATAACCTCACCCTCTTCCTATAAATTTCCTTTATAACCCCAAGACTAACCTGTTTTTATCTGTGACTTTCAGTACATTCCTCAGAACAGTTCTTTCTGATTTTTCAATTGATCTTTATTGTGAGCCTGACCTATAATCCTTCATTTGTTGCGTATTTGTTTTGTTTTTGTTTTCGTTTTAAGCACAGGATTAGTAGTTGTCTTTCATAATTTGAGGCAATCCAATTATTCCATTTTTTTCTCTCCTGTATCACTTTTGTAATTCACTATTTTGTGGGTAGCATCAATCAAAAAAGAATGACTTGTGCCGAGCCAGGTGCATGTCCCGCTCAAGGCACTGGGTCTGGAAAACGAGAAGTGATTTGTGCAATCTGTTAATGGGTCTGCCCTGTTAAAGTGCCTGTGGAGGTTAAAACTCGAAATAAAGATGTCGATTTCAACTGCTATTTTTGTAACAGCAAAATCATATTAATTAATGAAATAAAATCTCCTTGGCTTCTTTATACTTTTCTGCATTTTTAACAAAGTGCCCTGTGAAATATGCAACATGTCAGCATAGCTTTCTCTAGAAGCCATATGTCCAACCCCCTGATGATTCCCACTTGAGAAATATCTCTCCAGGGACTAGCAACACCCGTAATTTAAGTCCTGTGATTTTTTATGGGCAATGTCTTTAGTGCTCACTTTCATTTTTAGAATTTATAAGACACCGTACAAACTGATCTATGCATAAAAATGTTGTCAATTCTATGGTAAAACTTGGCCCCCAGTATGCATTTTACTCATAAAATGTACTAATTTTATATAAACTCTGTAATTTTTTTTGACGAAATCAATGTAGACATCTGAAAGAACAAAATGTATTTTCCATTATGAGACCTTAAATATACCTTGTTCTAAAGTTCTTGAAATGTGATCAAGATTTTTATTATAAATACACCTTAAGGGTTGTATTTATTAAAGGAACAATTCCAACAGACTCTCAAGATATTTTTCAAATATGGTATCATTGAAAGACCTATGGATTAATCAGATTTTCTGCATAGAATTCATGAAGAGTATTGTAATCTGTATTCTCATATATGAGCATTCTTAAGTTAGTTGCAGTTAACATCTGTTCAATGAAAATCTCTTGTTCTCACATAATATGCATTTCTGTCATTGATTATAACCATTTATCATGTGGTCTTTTTAGATGTCAGTATTTAATTTCTTATATGTTTATACATTTTTTATTTTCCTTTTACTTCATAGTTTTGTTTATTTTGTGATTTTGTTTGTTTTCTTTCATGGCTAGAATTCTACTTTGTCAAAGATTCCTGCCTTTCAGGGTAGCTCAAAATCCCCAAGATGCAGCTCAGCCTGCCTTAGTACATCTAAAAGGGCTACATTTTCTGACAGTTTTTCAATAAAGCCCACCTCAGCAGGCTCCACAGACCGTTTGCCATTCTCAGAATCAGGGAACAAGGTAAGGCAGCAGGTCAACTGAAGTTTCAGAAAAGAATATAATTTCAGAGGTTGTAAGACACAGTTCAGTAAATATATAAAAACAGAGACTAAACTCTAAAGTGTTTGACATATAAACAATAGACTCTCTTATAAACAAATAAAAGTTTCAATAGTTATTAATAGTCTAATCAGTAAAAAAAAAAAAAGCCTCTATCTAGGTATACTGTCCCTTATTAATTTATTATTTGTTTATTTGGTATCTTGTAAAATTTCAGATACAAACCAAAAAAATAAAATATATATGCTATTATATATAATATATAACATGTAGCATATACATATATATAGCATATAGCATATAATGTATAATATGTAATATTGTATAATAATGATGAATTATATATAATATGATAGACCATTTGGACTCAGTCAGACACATCAGGATTTAATACTGCCTCTGCTACCTATTAATTCAGTGATTTTGAAAAAATTACATACATTGATTCAACCTGTTTCCTTGGCTATAAAATGCATATAGTATTTTGTGGCAAGAATTAAATCATAAATGGATGTAAAGTGCTTAGAATTCCTGTCACATAAATGCACAACATACGGTAGTGTTCATTGTTAACTGTCATCATGCAATGCCCACTGCCAGTCCTTTCTGATTAATGAGTTTTCGTGCTTATCAAGAGGTTTTAGTAAAAATTTTCATTTGCTGGAGATTACTTAGGTAAATTACTATTTTCCCATGTTATTTAGAATTTGAATTTCATGATTAATTATTAGCACAAACTCCAGAATAATAGATTTTTATAGCACCTCTAGGCAAAGAGGAACCCTGTCTAAGTTTCAAAGTGGAAATGCTTATAAGTATATGAAATTCAGTAGTGTGTATTAAAAGAAATGTATCTATCAGCACAGGAAGAAATTAGCCAGGCTAACATAATCACTTTGTATACCTGAAGATTCACGAGAACCCAATGTGTTTTTTTCCCAATCAGGATGGAGTAACCAAGAGCCCAGAAAAGCGCTCTTCCCTGCCCAGGCCCTCCTCTATCCTCCCTCCTCGCCGCGGTGTATCAGGAGACAGAGAGGAGAATTCCTTCTCTCTCAACAGTTCCATCTCCTCTTCAGCAAGGCGGACCACCAGTAGGTTTATTTTGATTTGGCTTCCTTTTTAATCCCTTAAGTGGAGTAGAGCTTATTCTAGGTCTATATTTTACATCTTTCAAACAAAACACACATTGAAAACAAATTATATTTCTTCTAAGAATCAGAAAAGCCAGGGGCACCTGGGTGGCTCAGTCGGTTGAGTGTCTGACTTCGGCTCAGGTCATGATCTCACAGTTTGTGGGTTCAAGCCCCGCGTCAGGCTCTGTGCTAACAGCTCAGAGCCTGGAGCCTGCTTTGGATTCTGTGTCTCCTTCTCTCTCTGCCCCTTCCCTGCTCACGCTCTGTCTCACTCTTTCTCAAAAATAAATAAATGTAAAAAAAAATTTTTTTTAAAGAATCAGAAAAGCCAGACTATTGATGGATCCAAAACAGCTGCTTGATTCAAAATGATTGTTTTGGAAAATGAGTACCTACAAGGAAGTAATTAATAGAGAAGACCAATAGTCAGGAATTTTTTTTTAATATGTATCTATATAAGCTTAACTTCCTTAGAATTCCAAATCCTAAAGTCTAACTGGGAAGTCAGTAATCAAAACCTAGGATCCTGCTCAATTTGGTAGGAATTTACATTCCAGGGGCACCTGGGTGGTTCAGTCAGTTGAGCGTCTTGATTTCTGCTCAGCTCATAATCTCACGGTTCTGGAGTTTGAGCCCCACATTGACCTCACACTGACAGTGCGGAGCCTGCTTGGGATTCTCTCTCTCCCTTCTCTCTGCCTCTCTCTCTTTCTCTCTCTCTCAAAATAAATTAAAAAAAAAAAAAAAAGAATTCGCATTCCAATGTGGGTGTAAACATAACATGTTCCGTGCAATAGTTTAAATTTCTTTTGGTTGATGGCCCATAATGAACTAGTTGGCGTCATCACAGTTTAAGGAAAGAATATAACAATGTTCCAATCATTACCCACTCGTGTGGTGTTACTACCAAGATTATCTGGTTGAAGGACAGATGCAAATTATTTTCACAAATAGGTTTCTATTACAACAAAAATAGCTACCATTTATTTAGTACCTGAAGATGCTAAGATCCTAAGACACGTTTTTCACTCCATTTAAGTTAATAATGCTGATGGTTAGGTAAAAATAACCTCGTTAAGTCTACTCATGAGGAAACTGACCTTTTAAAGAGGGTAACTTGTCTGATGCTACTAAGCTAGAAAGTGGTTGAATTGGTTTTCAGCCCACTGATAACTTCATCCACCTGCCCTTTTAATGTCTTTTTTATATTTATTTATGTGGAAGAAGTAATACTAGAAAACTATGTAGAATCACTTGGAGAATAATATCTCTGTCATTTAAAAACCATTAAAAATGGTGGAAATTGCTCCTCCCATCACATTATAGTTGATTTTGTTACTTACTCTTAAAATATTTAATAAAAATTGGCCCACTTCAAATATTACCATTCTGTATGACACTTAAAGCATATTTTTGCCTAGAATTAAAGTGTTTATTATATTTAGAGCAGTTGTGCCCTACACCATCTAGTTTCATGAAGCATTAACATTCTTTGAAGTATATGCCAGGAACCCTTTAAGATCACAAAACTATTTCTTCGCAAAAATAAAGTATTCAAACAAACTAGCAAAGAAGGCATTGAAAAGATAGTGATCCCCAGAGAAAAGACTTCAGTTCCAGATATCCGGAGTTGGAATTGGGCACCAGCAATATGGAGGCTGTTCAGACAAGACAAAGGCACCAAGTGCTTCCCAAAGGTATACCTTGAATTAGGCTTCTATCTGTGGTTATGGGAGCAAAATGGTACTTTATTCATAACTTCACATCTTCAAACTACTGTGCTCTGCCCTCTAAAATGCATCCATATATAAATTGTCCTTTATGATTTGAGCCAATTCTATTTTGACTTTCTAACTTTATTTACATTCATAAGCATGATGCATTTTATTATTTGCTAAGAAACATAACTCGTACCCTGATAATCTCAGGACATTCGGTTTATTTTGTTTCCCTATAGCAATAGCTAAAAAGCCTAAGGACAACTAAAAGAACAAGTACTGTGCTTCCTCCCATTCACCCATCATCTCCGTAACTACACACAGACACATTCTGGCATTTTGTACCACTACTGAAAAGATTTGAAGGAAACAAAGCTATGCCCTTAGCACAAACAGAGAGAAAGGCATTGTCATCGAGGAGTTGACAAGATTAATAAGAACACAGTTTCATAAAGTAATTTGTAAATATATATTTTCTCATAGATATATTTCACATTGTTTTAGTATTTCAGATTTAATTAACTCTTTCAGTTTCAGAACAAATAGGAAACACTCGAAGTTGCCATTTGATGACTAGAATATAATTTATTATACTTTGAATCAATCCTATCTATTCAACAGTGGTGGTAGGGCTTAATGCTTTTGGTTTTTCTTCATTCTCCAGATGTAACACAAAACTTTCATTCCTTAGTTTTCTGAAGCTTAAAGTCATTTTCTATGGGTATAGAAAGGACTCTTTAAAAACTGTTATTTCTTTTAGTGAAACTTGTTATGCACATGGAGAATATTGCTTCAGCTCAGTCTCCCTTGAGTAAAACACACCTCAACACACTGATTAATTCTGAATCCAATTTGCACTGATAAAAAAGAAAGTATGTTGAGCTCCTACTGTATACAGATCTCATGGAAGGCACCAGTACAGTGACAAATAACAGAGAGAAGTTTCCGCTCCCCAAAAGACCTGAGCTATTCAAAGGTAATGAAGGCATAGAGAAAACATTTAAGGAGGAAATGAAGTTTCTGAAGAGATTTTTCTGAAAGACAGAATGACTGACTCAAACATCAAAAACTTGGTCCAAAAAAGAACTTTGTAGCAAAGAAACCTTAAAAAGCCAAGTTAGCTGTGGCTGTATCATCTTGGTCTTGAAATGTCATTTCTGTGGAAAGCAATAAAAATCATAGAACACACACTCATCTGTCATGTTAGTCTTCTTATATCCCATTTCCTATTGTCAGTTAAACAGTCTGCCCATGGTTAGCCCTTACACGTTAAAAAACCAGAAGGACACAGGGCAGCTTTCGCTTATATGTAAAAACTATTCACTGAAAGAAGTGAAATGCTCCTGTTTCTCCAGGAGACTGAACCCAGGCCAGTAGGTAAATAGATGTTGTCTGTAGATTATAATTATCTAAGAAACTCTCTTGAGCTCATTCCCTGTAATTGTTCCAGCAATGATTAATTATCCCCTTTCTCAGGCAGAACTTCCCACACTGATGACCAATTGTACGAGATGACTCAAAGATCCCTTTCACTTCATTGATTTAAAAACTAATGACTTGTACCTTTGTCCTCGACAAAATTTCTAGATTTATTGATTTTACAAAGTATATATACTCAGTAATAAAAAATAAAATTCATGCCCTTCCTATAAAACACCAAAAAAAAGTGAAGGTATTTGAATAATAAATGTAAATAACACTTATTTACATTGTTTACATTTATTATTCAAATACCTTCACTTTTTTTTGGTGTTTTATAGGAAGGGCATGAATTTTATTTTTTATTGTTATTTTAAGAGAAAAGATTTTTTTTTATTGTTATTTTAAGAGAAAAGATTTTTAGAGCTCAGAGGCTAAATATCATATCTGGCTTTGAATTTAGTATCATCTGGGTAAACAAGCCTCAGTATCCTCATTCTTGAATTTAGGAATAATAAGAGCTGCCTCTAACTACTGTGTTTGTTTGCTCATCACATGTTTGGTATTCACAAAAGTGCTTTGAAATCTATAAGGTGCTGTAGTCTCACGTATCTCTTTTTTTTTTTTCAAAAAAGGATTTGAAATGGCATTCAAACACACAGTTAAAAAGTTAATGTGAAAGAAACATAGTACAGGAAAATGGGCAGAAGGAGCTAAATAGTAAAATGATGCCCAAGTCGGGTTGAGGCAAAGAAATGCCTCCCACAATATCATATTTAATTGACAATGGGGGATTATTGGTTTGACTCCAAACTGCAAACTAGCAATGAAAGTATAGGAGAAAACAATCAGGTACAAGATGCACAGTGGATATATTGTTAAAATACCCTTTTTTTCTAAGAAGAAAAATAGATTTTTTTGTGTGTGGTTTTAAGAGCTGAGACGAGGGACGCCCAGGTGGCTCAGTCGGTTAAGTGACCGACTTTGGCTCAGGTCATGATCTCCAATTTGTGAGTTCAAGCCCCGCATCAGGCTCTATGCTGACAGCTCAGAGCCCGGAGCCTGCTTCGGATTCTGTCTCCCTCTCCTCTTTGTGTTCTGTCTCTCTCTCTCTCAAAAATAAATAAACGTTAGAAAAAAACTAAAAAAAAAAAAAAAGACCTGAGATGAATTTCCATACAAAGGAAAATGTAATACTGTAGAACAATGTCTAACATGACTGAATAGCCTTCAGTACACACATTTGCAATTCACAGTGTTCCTCAATATAAATGGAAGGGGTACCACTGAAATGCAATTCAATAAATAATTTGTACACAGCTCAAAATTACTGATATAAACACACAGTTGTATGTTGTATGTCTACCTGAATCTTGGAATGAACTTACTGCACAAAAGAGCAAATGGTCCACATATCATTCAAGGAATCTTTAGTAAATATGAGCCCACACAAAAAATACAGTGCAGACACTTCTTCCAACTAAAGGCAGATTCATATGCCTTAATGATCACACAAGTATAAAAAACTTTTGACACATTCAAAGTTAGAAGGAAGAATAAATCAAGAAAACCCAAGTTCTTTCTTTGCATTGATAGCAATGCATTTTCACAAATGTTACCAGGTTATAAGCCTTTGAAAAAAAGGAGACTTTCACCTTTTGGAGCATTGTTGTTATCCATAAATATTCTCAACTCCTTAAAAATTAATGTATTGTGAGTTCTAACAACCCGTGGGAAGACAATGTCTTGAGGAGAATTTTCTGATGCTGTGGTTTCAGTTTTGTTTTGTTTTGTTTTGTTTGTGAATATAGGATCAGAGCCAATTCGCAGAGCAGGAAAAAGTGGCACTTCCACACCCACCACCCCTGGATCAACCGCGATCACTCCTGGTACCCCACCAAGCTATTCTTCACGCACACCAGGCACTCCTGGAACCCCTAGCTATCCCAGAACCCCTCACACACCAGGAACCCCCAAATCTGCCATCTTGGTGCCCAGTGAGAAGAAAGTTGCCATCATACGTACTCCTCCAAAATCTCCTGCTACTCCCAAGCAGCTTCGGCTTATTAACCAACCACTGCCAGACCTGAAGAATGTCAAATCCAAAATCGGATCAACAGACAACATCAAATACCAGCCTAAAGGGGGGCAGGTAAGAATCATATGAACCCATATTTGCTGCTGGAAGTAAATTGCCACTAATTATTAGAATGTCTTCCTCATATTATATGCTAACAGTTCTTCCAATAAAAGGGAGGTGGAGGTGTTAAAAAAATTAATGGTTATGGTTCATTGCCAAGAGTTTAGACCTTATCTGAGAAATCTAGCTTATCAAATATAATGAAAATGACATGAGATATCCATTCCTTCTGGTTATTATCAGGTAAAAATGGATTTGACCATGCAGGAGAATTTTTCCATTAATTGCTAGCAGATCTTTTCTGAATGTATGTCTATTGCCTTGTGGACTTTGGTTTAAGAGATTAAAATTACATTTCTGATATGAATTTGAGTGTTCTAGTTTAGATCCTGTGACCTCATTTGACTATCTTTTAAGAATTCCACTTTTATCTCCTTTCTCCTTCGATGATTTTCTATGACATCTTCTACCATTTCCCCATCTCTACACCAACACCAGAACGGTTTGCCAAATTTCTTTTCTGGCTGCTCATGTTTACAAATTGCAAAGGGTAGACATTCGTGTTGATGATAAACAGGCAGTTTTGTATAGTTCTGATGCATGAAATTATTATAGCAGAACTCTTTAAGATTAATTATATTGGATAGAATTATTAGTAAAGCTCTACCTATTAAGTCTTAACTTCAGCTCCAGTACGAACGTTCACATTTTTACCAACCAAGGGTGTTTGAATTCTGCCTTGACCTGAACCTTGCTTACATACTGTTTGTTTAGATGAAACAATTAGCCTGGAAGGAGATAATACAAATATCATTTCTTGTTTTTGTTGTGATACTGATTGCCTATGGGATAGTTTGACTTTTCTTGTCAGTAAAGAGATAAAACACCCATCCTTGAGAGAAAGAAGAAAGAAAGTATCATTTCCTTTGTGCATCACCAAACTTGTAATGCCCTCTCAGCATCTCCAAAAGCCTTTCTTTTAACTTCAGTATTCTTTTCTGCCTCTCTTTATTTTGTGTCTTATATTTTCTGCCGCTGATTTTTGGTATCCTTCTTCCATGCCAAAGAAAATATATTTTCAGGCAGGTTTAGAAAAAAGATCTTGCCAAAACATGAAGCTATCAAGGATTCCTACTCACTGCTGAAACAAAAACTCAGTATTGCCCCTTCCTTTAGCACCAAACTTGATTGCTGTCTCACTGTGATTCCATTCCACAAAGCCCAAGGAGGTATGAAAAATCAACCAAAGAGTTGGAAGAAGTGGAGGGCAGGGGTGGTGCTCAGTATGCCCTCTGCAGAATGACTGTAACATTCTCTAGGAATAAAGTCATCAACAAATGCTTTTTCATACAAGATGTTCTTAAAATATGAGCTGCAAGAAATATTTTTTAAACAATACAAAACAAAAAGCTAATTCTACCAAATTTGATCCTGTAATTCCATAAATCTCATAGTATTCTTGGATTCCTCAGAGTTTTACACACTCCAGAGAATGAAATATTTTGAGTCTTTAGGAAATACCCAAATGCTGTATTACACACCATTTGTAATATTTATGTTTTATATTTATATATAAATATTAGTTGACTAAAATAAATTTAGTACAAATTTTAAAGTATCATTTTAGTTTTTGTTGAGATACCTATTAAAATACAATAGCCAGTAAGTATATTTAGAATCAAATCTCTTTCTATAAATATCCTTTTGGTTTGTATTTTCCTGATCTAAATGTGGGGTTTATTTGCTTATATTCTAGAAAATACTGATACTTAACATGTTTCTTCTTAGAATCACAAGGGAATATAACTCATCTCCAAAATATTTTCCTGAAAGTAAAAATAAAATGTAATCAAAATGGAATAATTATTGATATAATTTGACATGGAAATTCTACATGTGACTCCTCAAGGTAGAGAGGCATAAAGAATGGTTTTAGCCTCCGCTTTGCCAGAATCACTAAGGTTAAACCAGTCCAAAAAGTATGAATACTTCATCCTTCTGCTTCTTTACCATATCTGATTGTGAATATTTTTATGTCTAATTAATTGACTTCTACTATACTTGGTAATTCATAAAAGTGACATAAAGATGTCTCATTCTCTTGAATTCAACTAAAATGGCCTCAGAGATTGTCGTAATTAAGGGCTAGTAAAGACATATGACACAAAAATTACAGAATAAAAATAGCCTCAAACTCATGCTGTCCTTTGAAGAAAATCTCTTCTTTCATAAGGCAAGTGTTAATCTGCTGCAAAATTATCCTATATCAGCTGCAGAGGACTTGGAAAAATGTCCACAACAGTGGAGTTATGAAGTGACTCTTGTTGGAGAAGCAGGAGATATTTCCTCACCAAGATAAACAGATGGAAGGAAGATACTTGCCTTCTATTTGGTGATAGATGGTACAATGTGTTTAGGTTGGAAGAGGAAATAAATTGGGAAGTTGAGGTGCCCTGTAGTTGAACTGTCTTGGTAGGAAAAACACATCACTTAACACTTTAACAGTGTTAATATAAGCTGCAAGAAATCTTTTTCTTTGAGGCTTAAAAGCCTCAAACACAAGGAGTAAGGAGAGATTCTTTTTCTGTACATGTTAAACTGGAGGTTTTGACTGGATGATTCAAGATTCCACTTTACAGAATGACTAGGAAACATTTTTATGTTAAAACATGTTAGAAATTATCAGGATGATATACTAAAGACCCTTTTAATCTGATTGAGGATCCATAAATGCAATCTACTGGGGAGACCGTAGCCAATGGCATGTTGTTCCCAATTATAAATTGATAATCCTAAGATAGTTGAATGGATGGTGTTCAACTCAGAATCATTGAAGAGGACAGGATAATAGCAATACTTTCCGTAGAAGGCAAGTTTTGTAATAGAGATATGTAGTCTATAGATATTAGGAAAAATAGTCACACAATTATTATTAATAAATAAAGGAGGAAAATTATAGATGTAACCTTAATTCTTCTACACAGGCTCTATTGTTAAATCTGAAGTGGTTAGACTGTATGCCAATGATTTCATTTTAAAAGCTATATTATTGCTGTTTTAAAGTTTGTATAATCATTAAGAAATGGGAGGGGAAATCTGTAATAAAAAATATATATGTCTTGGGAACCCAACAACTTTCAAGTTGGGAAGCTTTATTATTTGCCTGAATCTGAGCATTTATTGCCCTTCCGTATGTATAGGTTGTGTGCTTACATTTATTATCGCTTCTGTTAAAAGTCCAATTTTATATTGGAAGAGAGGCTTAGCTCTGTGGCTCAGTTCAGTGAAGCAAATCAATGCATAATGGAATAGATAAACTAGCTGAAGATGTGAGGAGCTTTACAGAAAGCAATAATATTAATCTTTTCAGCTAAAACACAAATTCATTCTGCTGGAAAGAACATACCCAATCCTAGATTCACTGTACACTGTGACCTTGGTTAATTTAACTCGAGGCTCAGGTAAGACTATCTTAGTGTATTAACTTGAAACTATTTCAATGTAGTTAGCTCCCTATTCTACATGAAATCTAAATCTAGATTTTACAATCAATAGTGTTAGCTTTTTTAAGAACACAGCTGCTTGATTTAAACAGAAATAGGAAAATAAACAATTTCTCTAAATGCGTGGCATAAAAAATTTAGGCAAGAACGCAGTGAGTTGTACTTTTTACCCTTCCTATCAATGGATCAGCTTTTTTATACGTACTTTGATTTATGTGGAATACTTTTACATGCTTTAACAAGTTTCTCATTTTTTTTCTCCAAAAGCTTTATGAAGATCACTATACAAAGAACAATTTTTGTACCCTTGTCATAGTTGAAAGTTACTGATGGGGTGACTTCACAAAAACTGTTTTATTTTATAGCTTTTTGGATATGATGGCTAGCTAGATCATGATCTCTGCAAGGACATGTCTATGGATTTGACTGATTACCTTGTGGATTACATACTTCTCCTTCGTTCATGGAACAGTCAGTCATTTTCAGGTCAGCTGCGCTAAAGATGGTGGCATCTTCGAGCAAGTCACACCTGTTAAAGAAAAGAACAGTACTTCTCTTTTATATACAGAATCTTGTAGAATGTGTCAATCTATTACCTTCCCAGTCAGTGTTGCCCTAGCATCTTTTTAAAAAACTTATTTAGAGGAGCACCTGGGTGCCTCAGTTGGTTAAACATCCGACTCTTGATTTCGGCTCAGGTCATGATCTCACGGTTCATGAGACTTGAACCCCGCGTGAGGCTCGGCCCAGAGCCTGCTTGGGATTCTCTCTCTCCCTCTTTCTCTGCCCCCTCCCCCAGTCACACACTCTCTCTCTCCCTCTCAAAATCAATAAGTGAACTTTTTTGAAAAGACAATAGAAACAACAAAATATACTTCTTTTTGTAGTGCCATTAATATAATGTATTTGTACCATCTTAATGTCATACCATTTCATTTAAGCAGATGGTGAGGTCACTTTAAACTCTCAAATTCATGGTTCTACTTAAGAGATTGATAGTATCTTTGCGTTACAACTCATTAAGAATATTCACTTAGCTATTCTAACAAATTCCTTAAGTATGTGCCACAAAGGGCAAGCTGAACTTGAGTAAAGCAATCAGTGCTTCTGAAATGTAATTGGGAGAGAGGGAGGAAGGAGGGAATGGATGAGGGAAATGTGGACAGGAACCTTTTTTAGATTTTCTTATAAAGTTTTAGGAATTAGAAAACTTTTTGGGCCTTTCACGTGTAATTTGAATAAGTTACTTTTAGTTTCATACTCAAGGAGAAAATGGAATTAATGCTGGAGGCAAGTAATAAATTATACTGAAACAGGGTTTTTTTCTCATTCTGTCAAATTATGATGGCCACCATTGTGAAAGGTCTGCTGAGTGCTATTAACATATAAGTAAATTAATAAAATTATAAGCTTTATAAATTAAAAGAGAATTAAAATTTATTTAGATTTATTCCTCATTCTCATTGGGTATTATTTCATCAAACATTTATTAAGACCCTGATGGGTACT